AATCTGCGGCAACTGTGTGATGCCATCATGTCAATATGGACCAAACTCCCTGAGGAATGCTTCCAGCACCTTGTTGAATCTATGCCACCAAGAATGGAGGCAGTTCTGAAGGCAAAAGGGGGCCTAACCCGTTACTAGCATGGGGTACCTAATAAAGTGGCCGGTGAGTGTATTAAGCCTTAATCTGAGCAGGTACATAAGATGATTTACTAATTGAATGAGTATTTTTACTCTTAGAATAAGATAATTAGATAATATACACTTGTAATAAGACAAAGCAATTGTTTTTTTCTTATTTTAAATGTAAATTTTCTTGTTCCATTGTCTTACATACCTCCTCAATTCAAGGAAAAATGCACGTATTTTAAGAATTTAATATCTAAATAAAAGTAAAAGTATTTAGATTACATTTTTTTGCAGTGTACAAAGCCTTGGATAATTTTTCAAAAAATAAAATGTGTGAAATTGAACATTTATTCATCCTTAATCTCAAACATGGGGATCTGCAGCCCCAATGTCTTTGCATATTGCTTTCCATGACTGTAGCCTGCAATTCTTAAAATGTTTGATTCAACTTTTTCTCTCCTATAATTCTTACTCCAGCGACTGAAGTTTATGTGCACCCCCCATCAGTTCCTGCTGGTCAGCGCACCTCCATCTAAAGAGATCCGCTTTCAAACGGCCAGAAAACTTTACGGCAGCACTTTTGCCTTCCAGTGAGTAAAATCTAAGCTACATTCCCAAAACAAATCGACAACGCCACAGTTTTAAAACGTTGCTCTTTGTTTCAGCGGTTCTCACATTGAAAACTGGCACTCTATTTTAAGAAGAGGCCTCATCAATGCATCATATACAAAATTACAGGTAAATTTTAAAGCGGTTTAAGTTCATTTAAAGCCCATCTAGAGCAGCCAAACCTCAGGTTGAGATAACTTGTTTTGCTCTTTTAAAGCTTCATGGAGCCGCTTATGGGAAAGGAATATATCTGAGTCCCATTTCAAACATATCTTTCGGATATTCTGGTGAGAGTTCACACTTCAGAGCTTTTTTTTTTCTTAATCTTTGTGGCTATAGATTATAAGACAATGTTCTGTTATCTCTGTGTTATCTCAGACATGGGTAAAGGTCAACACCAGATACCGACCAGAGATGAACTAATTGCAAAATACAACCGAATTAATATAATAAAACAGGTTAGGTTAATCGCAATCAGTATTTGGTTCAATAAAGCATTTCCTGTTTCTTATTTCTTTTCCTGTATCTTTGTTTCAGGAAGAAGCAGGGCAACCAAGGTTTCTGCAAAGCGCCAACCTGAGCTGCATTGCACTCTGTGAAGGTGAGCAGTTAGACAGCTGCAGCTCTTCAGCGTCACATCTTGTCTAACAGAGTTTTCATTTTGTCTTAGTCGTAACTTCAAAGGCCCTTCAGAAGCACGGGAACGTTTGGGTTTGTCCGGTGTCGGACCATGTGTGCACACGTTTCCTGTTTGTGTGAGTAAAACGCCCGACAGTGTGTATTTCAGTATAAAATGTGTTGCAAACAGCTTTTTGATATCTCACCGCGGTTTGCCTGGAGCAGGTATGAAAACGGTCGGGTGGGAGATGTGCACATCAACTCGCAAGACGCACAAATCCAGAGGGAAATTTTACAGGCGACTGGATCCGAGCCCTGCTGAGAAAACCAGTGCACTTTCCTGCAAGTGTATCAATGAACTGGAAACCAGTTTAGCTTTCATATTTCTATGCTGTAATTAACAACTATTGCTGATCATCAGTTATATTTTTTTTACTGTATTTCATTACAATGATTGCCTGATCCTATTTGTGTTGTTTTATATTAAAGCTAATTTTCTTTAACTTAAATGTCCACTTGTTTGCTCATTATTC